TAACGACTATGTTACTGGTTTATGTATTCACTGTACTATACTTTATATCATTATTTTAAAGTGTACTCATACACCTCATGTTTACTGTGTCTCTTGGTTGTGGCCTAGGAGCAATAAGCTAGACCACACAGCAAAGGTGTGTGGTAGGTTAGACCATCTAGGGGTGTGTAAGTACACTCTGTGATGTTCGCACAATAATGAAATCATCTAACAACGCATTTCTCAGAGTGCATTCCCCATCGATAAGTGGCACATGACTCTAGTGGACTGTTTTTGTTACTCAAAATAATAAGTTGTTTATTATGTGCAAGGGGATGAATTTTGTATAATTTGTTGAAGAATATGAGGGACTTGTGGGTGGGTCCTCTGCCCACCTGCCTGCTTTCATGATCAGCTCTGAGTCATGGGGCCTGTGTGAGGTGTAGGGGACCCAGTGATGAATGAGACATAGTCACATAGTCCCTGCCCTCAAGAAGCTCCCTCTCTAGGGGGCAGTCAGGAAGATAAAACTACTTCTACTGCCACAGGCTAAGTGAGGCCTGTGGGGCACAGAGCAGACACCTAACCCCGTGGAGCAGTGGAGGGGATGAGGAAGGGAGGGGCAGGTTGGTTAGGGAAGGCTGCCTAGAACTATGGCCTACCAATGGCTGGTCCTGACCTTCAAAGCGCTGTGAAATCAATTTTGTAGACAGCAAGTAGCATTTTAAAAAATTAAACAGAAAATGTCATAGTACATCACACGTAGAAAGAATACATGCATATGTATGCAGGTGTTTATGTGTGTACTAGATCATGATCTAAACCTTTCCTGCTACCAGCCGGCGTCCAAAGGTCTGAGAGACACATTCCCAGGGAATTCTTGCCTGCCTGGATCCCCAAAGCCCAGCACAATGTCGGCACTCAAAGACATTTTGATGAGTGGGGATGGATTTAAATCTCCCTGCACTCCAGCAAGCAGGTACCACCCTCCCCAGTTAAGCAAGGGATTCTTGCAAACCCAGGTCTAGCAAACCCAGACTGTTGAGCATGCTTGCAGTTTGCAGCTTTGCAGGCCTAAAGCCAGCTTCCCTGCCTGTGAGTAGAGGCCAGAGCAAGATGGGGCGGAGCTGAGGCAGTTCAGAGGGGCTCCAAAGGCAACCCTTCTTGGTGCCCCAGCCCCTGACAGACCTTGACCACCCAGGTGGCATGTGCTTCAGGCCGCTGTGTTTACTCTGGGATGGCCTCAGTCACCCGCCTCAGGCCTGCATGGCCAGCATCCTGTGCCTTCGGAGTGCCAACAGGAAGCACTGTTTATAGGCACAGGCCGGAATACAGGGGAGAAGGGGCCCTGGGGAAAACAAGATGGACAGAAGCCGGAATCAGCCCTTGGCAGGGTGAATCAGGGTAATGACTAGGTGGCCACGCACGGAGACTCCCTTTTAGTGGTTTTTCAGAACACTCCGAACTTCATCTGTCCTATAATATCAGGACCAAAATACCCTTTGGCTACCTTTCTCCTCCATCATAGACTCTTAAGGTTGGAAGGACCCTAGAAATTATCCAGCCCAATGCCCTCATTTTACAGATGAAGAGAAAGGGGCCCAGAGAGGGAAGGCACTGATCCAGGGCCAGCCAGGAGGCAGCCTGAGAGCAGCGTACAGGACCTCAAACCCAGGTCTCCATGCCACCACCAGGGGTCTGGGGTCCTTTAGATGTCCCTCTCGACATCCTGCCAGAAAAATCTCCTATCTCATTTACCCTCCTTTGGCCCCTTCTCTGTATGTAACTACAGAAATCTTTCTAAAGGACAAATCAGTTACTACTCTACTTGCCCGAAACCTTCCCTCAGCCCTCACTGCCCTCAAATGCAAAGACACCACAGTCTTTCCTACTGCCCTGAGGCTTCCCACCTCTCGGGCTCCCTCCCCTGCTCTTCTTCCCTGGCGTATTGCTATCTCACCTCCTGGACTGCCTGCCGCCCCCAGATGTGCAGGGTTCTCTCCCCTCTCCAATCCTTCCACATGCGGTTCCCTCTGCCTTTAACACCCTTCCCGCCCCTGCTGCGCTTGTCTGCTCTTAGGCTGCACAGTAAATCTCACTTGTTCCAGGAAACCCCCCTCGCCTGCTGGCGTCCTGGGTTAGGTATCGCTGCCAGGTTGTCTTGCAGCAACTTGATGCTGTTCAGATCCATTTTACTGCCAGTTTCTCCTGCTCCCTGACAGAAGGTGCTATGATATTGCTATCACCTTCAAAGCCAGACCTAGTCAATAAGTATTTGTTGCCCTGGCCGGTTTGGCTCAGCAGTTAGAGCGCCGGCCTGCGGTCCAGAGAGACCCGGGTTCGGTTCCCGCTAAGGGCACGTACCTCGGTTGCAGTTTGTCCCCGGCCCTGGTTGGTGCGGGTGGCAGCCACTCGATGTGTCCCTTTCATGTCGATGTTTCCTTCTCTCTCTCTCTTCCTCTCCCTCCCTCCCACTCTATCTGTACAAAAAATGGAAAAATGTCCTCGGGTGAGGATAAAAAAAATAAATAAATATTTGTTGACCAGAAAAATTAGTGTCTGTCCTTTTCCAAACTTCCTAAGAATGGCCTTCCCTTCCCACGATGCATTTTAAAAACATTTCATTTTTTTAGAGCAGTTTTAGGTTCACAATAAAATTGAGATGAAGGTGCAGAGATTTCCCATACACCTCATGCCCTCACATATGCGCAGCCTCCAAGTGATCAACATCCCCCACCAGAGAGGTACATTGTTACAATTGATGAACCTATATTGGCAGATCACAATTATCCAAAGTCCATAGTTTACATTAGTGCTCACTCTTGGTGGTGTATATTCTGTGGGTTTGGACAAATACATAATGACATATATTATAATATTATAATCATTATAATATCATACAGAGTATTTTCACTGCCCTAAAAATCCCTGTGCTCTGTCTATTCATACTCACAATGCATTTTAAAGTTTATCAGCAAGTACAGCTTTTGCCCACAGGGTTGTGGGAACACAATTTCTGATTCCTCAGCCACACCATGCTTTTATGTGTCTGTGTCTTTGCACATGCTGTTCCCTCTGCCTGAAATGCCCTTCCACCACATTCCTGTTTATGAACTCCTTTCTCATCTTTAAGACCCATCACTTCTGGCACCATTTTTCTGACTGACACCCTCCATCTCAGCCAGGTGATTAGATCTCCCTCCTCAATCCTGCTTCGTCCTCCAGGCCTCCCCCTAGCAGGGCCCACATCACACTATATTGTGTCTGTCTCCCCCACTGGACTGTGACTCTCCTTGGGACCGGGATGTCCCCTCAGTGAAGTAAGACTGGAATACAGTTCAAACCTAAAAAGCTGAAAATGAGTCAGTTGCATTGTACCACAACTGAAGAACAATTATACTAACAAAGAATTCCAAGAATTCCATGGAACCCCAGTTCTATAAAAATGCTCTCAACTAATTTATACAGTGGGGGAAAGGGGACTCTGTCTTACTATGTACATTTCCCCTGCAGGGGTGGGGCCCCTTCTTCTGCCAGGGGCCATTTGGATATTTACATCATTCATGGCCCATACAAATTCATCAACTTAAAAGCTAGCCTCCTTGCTTCTCCTGACTCTTCCTCCTGCTTCTTCCCTGCTCCCTGGGGCCCTGGGACGTGCCATCTTAGCTCTCTCCTTATATCCTTTCTCCTTTCTGTCCACTCAAAACCCATGGTTCAGACCTCCCACACACCCCTTCCTCTCAGCTCTTACGCTGAGACAGCTGAGCTTCTCCAATCCCGAATCTTCCACTGCCTACTGGTACTTTTCTTAGGGTCAGCCTCTTCCACCAAGACCATAAAAAAAAAATTAGCCTGCTATATTTGCTCAGGCTAATTTGGTGAGGCATGTGATGCTAGCTGGTATTGATTTCACAGGCCTCATACGGCCTGCGGGCTGGACATTGCCCACCCCTGCAGGGAAAGACTGCTCGCATCAGCCAGGAAAGGCCTTCTGGTCTACCTGGCAGTTGCTTTCTCATTACAGAGCAGAGTTTCTTGATCTGGGTCTTTGGAAGGACAATCAACTTCTTTAGATTATATGTGAAATGTGTGTGTGTGTGTGTGTGTGTACACATGCATGCTGTGTGTGTGCATGTGTATGCATTTTTCTAGGAAGAGGTCCATAGTTGTTTTTATTCCTAGTGGTCTGACTCTAGATAAGATAAAAGTTAGGAATCACTGTGTTAAAGGAAAATGCTCACGTCCTTATCTGTGTGCTGGCTTCCTGCTAGTCTGGTCACTGTCAGTCAGTCCTCAGTCTGATCAGCTTGTGCTCACTTACCAAGCTGAGGTTCTGGCACCTCCAAGGTAGTTCCCTGAATGACTGGCCTTCAGCTGTGCTGTCTCCTCTGCTGGAAAACCTCTCCCCGTGCCTTGTGGTCAGCTCTCATTATTCTTTGGGTCTCTGATGAGCTGACATTTCCTTCTTGAAACCCTCTGAGGTTCCAGTTCTGGATTAGATGCCCCATCTTTGTGCTCCCACAGAATTATTCCCACCTCTCTGGCCCCTCTTCCTGTCTAGGACCATGTTTTTCTCTTTCGTTGTGCTTATTCCATGATGTTATCCACTGTTCATAGGACTTGTCTGCTACCTGATAACTAGAAACTCCATGAAGGAAGGGGGTGTGTGTCTAGCTTTGCCATGTTTTGCTGCCCAAACCAAGCATAATGCCTAGCATACAGTAGGTGTTCATTAAACACGGGTTGGAGAGGGCATGCAGAAATAAGTACCTTAACCCTTTCGGTGCCATACTTATGTGCTGGCACAGTCAGGCTGCAGTGTCCTTTCCCGCCCTGTGACTGTGGACAGACTTGACAGTCATGAGCATTTCAGTTAGTGAAATATTCAGATAATCAGTTTTTGTCTTTCATCGGCAAAAGCTTCTTTCTCACCCAATGAATACTTGTTCACACACATGCACAACCTACATGTGAATGAGAGAGAAGACATGTGCCACAGGGTGTCAGAGTAAACATACCTGCATTTCGCAGAAAGCGATTCCTATAGTCCTTGACGACCCTCGTGTTCGGGTTGTAGAAGCCATCTCCACAGTCATAATAGCCAAAAGGGATTTTTCTAGGCGGGTCCATATTGGTGAGTTGAGAGATACCTTGAAAGGATATAATGGATAATTAACTCACCACCAAGGCCAAATTCAAACCCAGCCTCTGCTAAATCCTCTTTGGCTGGCTGCTCATGTGATATTGGCGCTGCTGGTGGACTGCCCCCCCCCCCCACCACCACCATTGAGGGCTTGGGGCAAAAGCAGCAGGAGCAGTGCCCTAGAGGGGGTCCTGAAAATGTCTCGGTGAGGGGGGTCTTGGGAACTGAAACCCCATCTTCTTTCTTTGACCATCCTCCATTTCTCCATTTCTAAGGACACCATGACCAGGGCACATTACTGGAGTGGGAGAGACCCTGAGGATGCCTCAGAGTTGGCCACGTGGGTAGAAGGCATGTAAGGAGAGGGGTGGCATTCAAGGTGTGGGCAGAGGCCAGAGCAGGTGCTTACATCTCATTTGGAAAGCCACGGAACCAGGCACATATGAGGTAGAACGGAAGGGAAGAAATGGGCAATGTCGGCAGGGACCAGGTAATGGAGAACCTTGACTCACCCCAATCACCATCAGAGCTGCCATTTATTGAGTGCGAATTACGTGTGTGTGTGTGTGTGTGTGTGTGCACGCGTGCGCATGCATGCGCATGTGTAGAAGGGTGTAGCTGGCAATCAGATTGTCCCTGTTCAGTTCCTCCTCTCCTTTGGGTTACTTCAGTAGGCCATGGCCCACTTATTTAAAACTGCCTTTTCTTTTTTCAGTTTTTTTTACATTAATTAATTTATTTTTGTTACATATGTTTCTCCTCCCCCCCTTCAGACACCCTCCTCCTGATCCTCCCCTCCCCCCAGCATTGCAGTCTAAAATGGCCTTTTGTCTCCCTCTCAGTTTGGCCGTGAAGGAGCCTGGGTACCTGTAGGCTTCAAGCCGTGGCACATCTCGGTGTAAAACCTCCGATCGTAGCTGTCACAATAATGCCAGTTCTTTCCATCATACTGCAGCCCGTCTGAGAAGGTGTATACGCCCTGGGAAACAAGGAGCACACAGGCAGGTCTGAGGAAGCCCTTCCTTAACCGAGAAGGACAGAAGTCAAGGGAAGAGGTGGCTTTCTCACTACCACAGAAAAGAAGCGATAACTGTCACAGCCACCATGGCTGTGATGAGGAGTAGGAATGGATACACAGTGCTGAAGTCGGTGCCTGGCACTCAAAATATGACTAAATGTGACCTTGGGCAGATGATCTACCCTCTCTAGTCCTTGGTTTCCTCATTTGTAAAATTAATATAATAATGGAACATATTTAATAGGGTGGATTCAATGAGAGTCAATGAAATAGTAGTTGCAAAGCATTTGGCACAGTGCCTGGCAAGTAGTAAGCACTCAATAGATGTTAAGTTATTATCATTCTTGGATTGTTATCATAGCTCAAAAGGTCGGAGCCATCAGTCACGGTCCTTTGTCCAAACACGTACATTTTGTTTTCGCTGCCTTAGTGCTAAAGGAAGCCCCCGGATGTAGACATCGCATTGGCTTGAGCATCAGGAAACATGGGTGGAAATTCCAATACTATTAACTCACTGTGTGACCTTGGGTAAGTCACATCCCCTTCCTGGGGCTTAGATTCTTCAAGATGTAAGACAAGGAGTGTTTCTTAATATTTTTTAGGTCATGAGCCAGCCCCCCACACACCTTTAGTGAAACTGATGAAAGTTATAGATCCTTTCCCCAGAGAAAAATATAGTCCCATATACACAGAAATTTTTCTGTATAAATCAGGAGCATTTACTGACACCCTGAATTGTATTCTTGACCCACAAATTCCAGGTTAAGAATCCTTGGATGAGATGACTTATCATGATAGTAGTAATGGTGGCAGTAAAGTAAGAGCTAACACCTACTGAGTGCGTACCGTGTGCCAGGTACCGAGCTAAGCACTCACGTATATACTGCCTCACTGCCTCATGGCCATCAGGAGGTGCCTGGTCCCATTGAGACAGGCTGAATAATGGTCCCCAAAGATGCCCACATCTTATCTCTGGAACCTGTGAATATGCTGACTATACATGGCAAAGGGAACTTTGCAGATGTGATTAAGTTAAGGATTTTGACATAGACAATAATGCTGGGGGTGGGGGGTGGGGCCGGGAGGGGGGTGTGGGGGGGGCGGGGGAGAAGGAGAAACATCTGTAACAAAAATAAATTAATAAAAAAAAAAGTTAAGGCCCTGGCCGGTTTGGCTCAGCGGTTGGAGCGTCGGCCTGCAGTCCAGAGAGGCCCGGGTTCGGTTCCCGCTAAGGGCACGTACCTCGGTAGCAGTTTGTCCCCGGCCCTGGTTGGTCGTGCAGGTGGCAGCCACTCGTTGTGTCCCTTCACATCAATGTTTCTCTCTCTCTCTCTCTTCCTCTCTCTCCCTCCCGCTCTATCTGAACAAAAAATGGAAAAATGTCCTCGGGTAAGGATAAAAAAAAAAAAAAAAAGTTAAGGATCTTGATGTGGTGAGATTATCCTGGATTATGGGGGGGCGGGGAGCAATGTGAACACCGGGTCCTTATAAGAGAGAGGAAGAGAGTCAGTGATAGAAGACGAGGTTGTGGCAAAAGCAGAGGGAGAGGAGATGTGATGATGGGAGTGGAGGTCAGAGTGATGGGTGGCCATGAGCCAAGGAATGCAGGGTTTCCAGCTTCCAGAAGATGGAAAGAGGCAAGAAAATGGATCCTCCCACAGAACCTCCAGAACAAATGCCACACTGCCTACCTATTTCAGACTTCGAACTCTCAGAACTGTAAGATAAATGATTTTGTTGTTTTAAGACACTGAATTTGTAGTAATTTGTAACAGCAGCAACAGGAAACTAATATAACTCTTGTCCCCAATTTATTAGACAAGGAGCATGAGTCTCAAAGGGGAAGTCATGGGCTCAAGGTCACACAGTTAGTGGCTTAACAGAATTCAAACTCAGCATGACCTCTCCGGGGGCCCTTCCGTGTCCAGAGGGAGAGACTCCAGAGCCCTGGCTGTCAAGAGAGGGAAGAAGAAGACCCCGATAGGGAAGGCAGGGTATTGTGTGTGTGTGTGTGGGGGGGGGGGGTCTCCTATCTGAGGCTTTCCGCTCTGCAGTCCCCCTCCCAGGCTAATCACCTTAACGGCCAATCCCTTTTCCCAAGTGGCATCGTATTGGCTCCCACTGGGGAAGTACAGAGTTCCTTGGCCATGAAACATGCCGTCCTTCATTTCCCCAACGTATCTTGTTTCAGTAGGGAGGATATATTCAGCATCGCCCTCCATCCTGTAAGGACAAAGGGAAATCACTGAGCCCTGCAGGCACTAGAGGATCTGAGCTAGTAGGCACAGGCAAGTGGCAACCTCACCCTCAGGGTCCCCAGACGTTATCATCTCAGCAATATTCTGCTCAAAACCAGAATTTTAATTTTGTTTCCCTTATAAGCTCAAAAATAAGAGGGGCTGATGAAGGGGGTCAGAGTTTGGTCTCTTCCTCCTCTCCCTCATAAAGAGGCTGTCTTGAAGTCCATGCCATCCCAGGGAACAGGCCCAGAGAGGGGAGGGATGTGCCCAAAGCCACACAGTGAAGCAGAAAATAGGGCCAAGTGTCCTGGCAGCTGGCTGTGTCTTTCCTGCTAAGACCAGCCCAACCCTGCCCATTACCCCACAAGTGGGATATTTGGAAAAGTATAAAATTTGGATGGCACACATGGGTCTGAATCTTACTTTACCATTTCCTAGAAAGTCTTAGAGACTTTCCTAGACCTTTCTGCTCGTCTGTTTTTCTTCCTTCATTTTCTTTCTTTTTTTCTAACAAATATCTACAATGCTCCTACTATATGCCATGATCTTGTTGAGTCAGGTCTGCTGGATACAAAGTGGACACAACAACGATCAAGGCAGATGCTGTTCCTGCCATTGGAGTGGGGCTCACAGTCTATTAAGGGACACAAATTAAGCAACTGCACAGAGTGTGATAAGTGCCATGCAGGGGGAAGACAGGCCCCTACAGGAGCACAGGGAAGGGATATTTCAGCCAGTTCACTAGGTGACCAGTTTCTTCATGTGTGAAAGTCTGAGATGAATGCCCAAGAATGTCTAACAGTTTTCCTAGTAAAGGGCCAGACATAAGTACTTAAGACATATGCTTTTATTCATTGCTTTATTCCTTCTCCATTCTTCTCTACTAGCTAGGAGTCACTGTTCCTAACTCTGAACTTCTTTAGGCTTTTGTTTGTACCTCTTTTGGATGCTTAGCACTTTCTGCCTTGCCTCGTAATTATATACCTCATCTCCCCTATTTAATCAAAGCATTTGAGAGGAAGGCCTTGGCACCCTCAGCTCTTAGAATAGTGTTTCTTCTTAAACAAATGCTCTGTAAACATTACCGAGTAAGAAATGAAGAAAACAGAAAGGTCGCCATGCCGGTTTGGCTCAGTGGTTAAAGTGTTGGCCTGCGGTCCAGAGAGACCTGGGTTCGGTTCCTACTAAGGGCATGTACCTTGGTTGCAGTTTGTCCTCGGCCCTGGTTGGGTCGTGCAGGTGGCAGCCATTCAATGTGTCCCTTTCCCATCGATGTTTCTCTCTCTGTCTCTCTCTTCCTCTCTCTCCCTCCCACTCTATCTGAACAAAAAAAATGGAAAAATGTCCTCAGGTGAGGATTAAAAAAGAAAGAAAACAGAAAGGCCAGTGAACTGATTGAATGGATGACAGATGCCACTGAGGCACAGGCCCAAAGCGGGAGAGCACTGTGGTTCAAGCACAAGTTATGAGCTGCAGACCTGGAGTCCAGGCCTGGCTCCTCCTCTCTGTGCCTGTATGGCCCTGGGAAAGTTCCTTTTCCAATCTGAGTCAGTTTCTCATCTGTAAAATAGGGATAATAACAACCCTCCCAGAGTTGTTGAGATAATTAAATGAGAGAATGGCTGGCATACACTAACAGCTCAAAAACAATTTTGCCTTTATTCTACAGCAAGACACAGAAGGAAAAAGAAATCTTCCTTCTTCCCTTTATCTCTGCTTGAGATCACATCATTTTTTTAAGGTTTAAATTTCCTTTAATTCTTGCCCTTGCACTTGGCTTGTGATCAGGAAACATAAGTTAATAAAACGTCTTTCTTTTCCTTCCTTCCTTCCTTCCTTCCTTCCTTCCTTCCTTCCTTCCTCCCTCCCTTCCTTCCTTCCCTCCTTCCTTCCTTCCTCTTCTTTCTCTTCTTTCCTTCCTTCCTTCTTTCTTTCTTCCTCTGTTTTTGCATGATTCATCCTGTCACATCATTTCTCAGCATACTTTCCATCTAAATCCTTCTCTGAGATTAGACCCCCTCTTTTATTACAGCAAATTGGACATCACTGTCCTTGTACAGACATCTCCAGGTCACCCCAAATGGAACTCATCCTCTTCTCTTCCAAAGCAGCCCCTCCTTAGAATTCCCCAACTCCGTGAATGGTATCAGAATCCTCCAGGTACAAAGCCTGGGGCTGGGCACTGGGCTGGGACTGGAAGCAGTCTCTGAGTAGGACCAGGGGCCAATCAGTTGCCAAGTCCTGGCAGTGAAATCCTCAAACTTTTACATTTTTCTCTTTCCTGCAGACCCACTGCCTCTGCCTCAGCCCAAGTATATATGGAATGAATGTATCTCAGCGCTGTAGCTTGAGCAAGTTACTTCACTTCTCTGGGTCTCATTGTACTGAACTGTAAAATGGGAATAAACAATTCTACCTGACATTGTTCTGAAAGTTAAAAGGGATTAAGTTTGTAAATGTGTCTGGTACAAGGTCCCTTTCAAAGGCAAAAGGACAGGTGTCTTTTCCCAGTCACAGATGTTCAAGACAAAGTGAATTAGATGAGGTCCTTACCTCCCGTCTACGTATTCCCCAATATATTTGCTTCCTGTGTACTCCATGCCGCCTGCCTCTAGCTTCCAGCCAGTGGGACGCCGGAGTCTCAGTGTTTCCCGCCTCACCATGACAACCAGGAGGGGTGGGCGGAGCCGACGCGGCCGCACAACTTCCAGGCATTGCGCACGCTCTGTGGCTCGCGGATGGGCAGAGCAGTGCGCTTGCGTGCCGCCCGTCGCGCATGCGCAGGTGCTAGGTGGCCCTCGGCGGTCGAAAGGGGAGTTCAAGGAGACGGGCGACGCGGCTGCGGCTGCCTCGTCCGAGTCGGGGCTACTGACATCATGCCGGGTATAGTGGAGCTGCCCACTGTGGAGGATCTGAAAGTGCAGGAGGTGAGGCTCATCCGGAGGACAGGCAAGCGGGGCATAGGGCTGAAGTTTCCCGGGCCTGGGCCCAGTCCTGCTTCGACCCAGCGGACTTTGGGCCCCGGACCTCCCCTACCCCATATACCCCAACACAAACAGATCAACCCCCCTGACGCCCCTTCCTCAGCTCCGGGAATCACCCACCCCACTCCAGCCTGCAGTGATTCGAGAACTCTCCCCTCCCCCACAGCGACCTGCTTCCGTACGTGAGTGCTAGTGGTACTTTTTATTAAGTACCAAGCAGGATCACTTTACTTACTTTATGTCACTTAACACTCAAACCTCCCCGCGAAGTAAGTCTACAACTCCGGGTGCTGTGCTCACAGTCAAGGGAGAGAGAGTCCCCTTGAAGTAGCATCTTTGGTGCAGAGTGCATTTAGGGAGATAGGAAGCCGCAGAAAACGGAGATGATGGTGTTGGAGACGGAAGTTGCTAACAGCCTTGGGAAGGTGTTTGGTAATAGGACAGTTAGGGCATTCAGTTATTCAAGAGATACCATTTGAATAATTGCCATGTGAACATACACTGGAAAATAAGAGATGATGTCCCTGAGTTTGTATCTAACAGGAAAACAGACGTACAAAGAGGCAATTACAGTACAGGGTAGTTTGTACCATGAAAAGTGAAAACAGTATAATAATAAGTATTGCAAACACGAGCAAGCCTTTTCTAGAGGTCAGGCGGGATTTACATGCATTAATTCACGGAATCCTTCCAGCAACACCAAGGAAGGGTAAAATTGGTCTCTCCATGTTGTAAATAAGGAACAGGTTCTGAGAGAAGTGATTTGTCCAAGGTCACATGGCTAGTGAGTGGTAGAGCTGGAATGTGAGTCTAACGAACTCTGATCTAAAAAGCCATGCTTTTAAATTGCTGTGTTTTAGGCAAAAGCTCAAAAGGGTGAGAAACCTTAGCAGAACCTTTTCTGTTCAGGGAGACAAGTGCTGTTTGACGTGCCTCTAGATTTGGTGGGAAGCAGCAGTTGCTGAGCTGGGAGAGGTACCCGGGCTGAGACGGGACTGGGTAGCAACTTCCACAAGGTCAAGTTTGGATTTTTTTTTTTTAATTTTTTTTCCTTTATTGATTTTAGACAGGGAGGAAGTGAGAAGGGGAGAGAGATAGAAATATTGATGAGAGAGAACATCGACTGGCCGCCTCCTATATGCCCCCTGTTGGAGACCCGGCCCATAACCTGGGCATGTGTCCTGACTGAGAACCCAACTGGTGACCTCTTGGTGCGTGGGTCCACACTCAACCACTGAGCCACAATGGCCAGATAAGTTTGGATTTATATAAGAGAGCTGATGGGGAGAGGTGGAAGGTTTGAAGGCACAGGAGTGGCAGGATTGGATAGAAGAAAGATCACGCTACATCAGAGGAAACGGGGAGCAAGACTGAAATGTATGTGCCAGAGCCCTGGCTGGTTTGGCTCAGCAGTTAGAGCGTCACCTGTGGACCAATGAGTCTCAGGTTCAATTCTGGTCAAGGGCATGTGCCTCAGTTGCCATTCTTCCCCAGCCCTGGTCGGGGTCCTGCAGAAGGCAACCAGTCGATGTGTCCCTCTCACATCGATGTTTCTTTCTCTCTCTCTCCCTCCCTCTCCGCCCCCACCTTCCTTCCCACTCTATCTGAAGATAAATAGAAAAATATTCTCAAATGAGGATTTAAAAAAAAAATGTATGTGCCAGAAATTATATTCCAGGCACTGTGTTAAGTGTTTTAGTTGCATTACTTCATTTAATCTGATATGCCCGGCATATCAGAAGGGCAGCTCTTATTTTCCTCAGATGAAGAAATTTTTAGTTGTGTTCAGGGGCTTTACCATAAAGTGACATTTATCGAAAGGTGAGGGGTCAGTGCTGGCCACAAGTCAGGCTTTTGTTTCTTGCCCCCGCTGTGAAGCTGACTTACTCTCAACTGGCTGTATTTTTCATTGGAACTTTAATTTGGCTCAACAAACAACTGAGGTTTTACCTTCTGCAACTATTCTATATCTGGAATAAATTTGCCTTTAGGCCTCACACAATTACATTGAGAAACAGATAATCACACAAGTAACTAAAATAGAAGACTAAGTATAATTTAATGCTATGGGAGAGGGGCAGGCATGGTTTAAGAAAAGAGAGTAGGATTTGAAGTTGTAGTTAAATTCTAGGCCTAACTGCTCAGTTACCTTGATTAGTCACTTTCAGCATTTGCAGACACACTTATTTTATTTGTAAGATGAAGTGATTCCAGCTGTATAATTCCCTGCAGCTCTAAAGGGGACAGAGAAAGCACTTCTTGGGCATAACATAAGAATTATAGACAGAAATGGAGCGAAGAGCTTTCAAAGCAAGGGTAGGATCGGAGCAAAGGTAAAGAGATGGGAAAAGGCAGAGGACCAAAAATGGGTCCTGGGACTAGGGAGTTCAATGTTCTGAGAGAACAGCAAGAAGTCCCTTTTTGAAGTATCATGGGTAGAGGGCTGGAAAGATAGTTTGGATCCAGAAGGCTTTGGATACCCCATAGCAAGTTTAAGCTTTATGCTTCTGTTAAACCCGAATCCTTCCAGGGTTTTGTTGCTAATTTGTTTCAGTAACAGAGTAAAATAAGAATTGTCTTTTAGGAAGATCACTCCAACAGCTTTGTGAAGAATGGATTGAAGAGAGAGAAGAAGAAAAACAGGGAGACTGGTCTTGGTGGCTGTTGAAATAGTTGAGGAAGATATTAACAACCCCAACTATACTTACAGAGAGAAAAGAACAGATTTGTCTAGAATTGATCAGACTTAGCCACAGCTTAGGTATCAGAGCAGGAAGGGTTGGGGAATCAGTGTTAGATTTGCAACCTGGCATTGGGACTGAGGAAGCCAGAAGGAGCAGGTTTGAGAGGCAAGTTAAACATAGTTTGGACCTCATTGACTTTGGAAACAGGCTACATCCTATGGAGAAAGGAGTCAGAACCTTTGAGCTGGAAAGTCCTTGTACATTGACAGTTTTCAGTAAAAGTACTATATTAATCATAACAATTCTATCAAATAGGTACTATTATCCCTCAGTTTACATAAATTAAGTAAAATATAAGGCATAGTACAAATGAAGCACTATAAAAAGAGGCAGACATGGTTTAAGGAAGTGAAAACAGGACTAGAAGATTGGGTGTAGATTGTAAGACGTATTTTTTGCCTCCCTTTCCACACCTGTAGACTGATGTAAGCCTGCTGTGCAGTGAGGCTGTTGTGAGGATAAATGAGGAAGGACATTGCAATTCTGTGTCCTTGAGACAAAGGGAACTGAATGAGTTTGAGAGGGTATTGACGGTGTGCAGCTGTGAAAGGGTGTTGCTTCTGTTGGAATTCATCAGTCTCAGTGAAGAAGCAGGTGAGGGGAGATGATGACATTCTGAAGTTCAGTGCCAGCTCAGTGATGGCGATATAATGGGAAGAGGCCAGTTGGAGGTCACAGTCTCTGGATTCCACTTCTGTGGTTGCCACTGAGCTGTGGTGTCATCTTGAACACGTCTCTTTCCTCAGAATAGATTCAGTGTGTGATTCTCATGCTTTATTTCCCTGTGACAGCATATTTTACATGCTTAGCAACATGGGTGTACCTAGATTTTGGTAAGACCTTGACATTTGTAGGAAAGTAAAGCAAAGAATGCCATAATCTTTTGGGACATGATATCTATGAAGGCGTTTGAGTTATTAAATCAGTCATTTAAAGATATTTTAAGGCATTTGACAAGGAAGTAAATATAGCTAACTTAATTTTAAAAATATATTAAGCTTTAAAAAAGTTTGTGTCTTGATTTTTATTCTCCCAGTTCTTTGTAGGTAATATAGCAAACAAGTGTGTACCACTTAATTAACCTAAATAAACTCATATTATAAAAAACTGCCCTAACCGGTTTGGCTCAGTGGCTAGAGCGTCAGCCTGCAGACCAAACACGGGTTCAGTTGCAGTCAAGGGCATGTACCTCGGTTGCAGTTCAGTCCCTGGCCCTGGTTGGGGTCTTGGGGGAGGCAACCAGTCGATGTGTCTCTATCATGTCAATGTTTTTCTCTCTTCTTTCTTTCTGTCTGTCTCTCTTTCTCCCTCACACTCTGAAGATAAATGGGAAAATATCCTCGGGTGAGGATTTAAAACAACAACAAAAAAAAACCCTGTAATACAGAATTTTACAGATTTTAAACAAATATATTAGCAGTCATGACAAATTTCACTTACAACACTTGTAATATTAGTAGACATAGTCATAACTTTATTCTTCTCTTCCTATAGTGTGTAGATGAATTACTGTGTTCATCTTTCTTTGCCTTTTAATTTAGTAATAAGTTAAGCTTGGTGAAATTTATAAAAATCCTTAATAAAATGTTTACAAATAAAATCCAGTGTTATCTTAAAGCATAATACACTATGGCAGGCTAGATTTTATTCTAGATATAATGGGTCAGTTTTAGAAAATTTATTAATGCTCTACATTACACTTATAGATTAATGAAAAGGAAACCTGAACATGTTCTGTCTTTCCTGAGAAAACAACAGTAAAACAAAACTAATTAGTATTAGAAAGAAACTTTCTTTTTAAAAAAAATTTTTTTTCTTTATTGATTTTAGGGAGAGAGAGAGAGAAACATCAGTGAGAGAGAACATCGACTG